CATGTGGACGCGGTCGCCTACAAGCAAGCGGTTGCGACGGGTGGCGGGAGGCCGCGGGGATGACGACCCGTGGCGCGACATCGTCCAGCCCCATTGGGGGGGTGACTGGACCCTACATCAAGGAGGGCGCTGGTGGACCAGCGAAGAGAAGGAGAACAGGGCGACGGGCGGTGAGACGACAACGCCCGAGGGATACCGGTGGCCAGTTCGGGCTCAACCAGCCTGGGGCGGCAGTTGGATCTGAGCCAAATAATATACGAAGGGGACGACCAGCGGCGTACCACCACTCCAACCTGCCGGAGCATCCAAAGACGAAGAATGACTCGCGAGGATGCTTCGTAGCAGGGGGGGAAGAATGTGAGGGGAGCCGTAGGGGGTATGTACATTAGCACAGAAAGGGGTTTGTTTTGTATATTAACACGGGAGAAACATTGTATATTATAGGCACTGGGCATTGTACAATAGGGACTCTTTAGAAGTGCTGTATAGTGGGGTTTACTAAGGGCAACTGGGCTGGGTGATAATGAAATAGACAGAGGGGATGAATGCCGTATTGGTCAATACGGAAAAGGGTGGCGCTGGGTACCCACCGGTCGGTGAGACGAACGGACATGAATCGGGGAGGTTCAAATTACAAACTGGGCGGGTATGCCAGAATCTGGGTGACTCACCCAATTCTAGCATAACCCTTGGACTGCCTTGGACATGGGGTATATAAACGGGAACACCGGAACACTTCTGTAACCAGAAAACTTGCCGTCAAGTTCATCTCCGACTGGAACCCGAGTCGAATGGGTAAACGGGCCGAGTCCCGTCCAGCCTCGAAGGGCATTCGCCCCTTACATATGGGGTCAGTGTTGTTGGAGGCGAAGAGCATCATGGCCAAAAGTGAGGGACTCTGGGCAAATGGGTAGCAGCGAATGCTCAACTGCCATATTTTTTCGGTTGTTTCTTATTTCTGGTATTCGCTTTTGTTGTTTGTATATATAGCTGTGGTGGAGCTAGCTTAGGAGAAGCTGAAATAATATGGGATAATGGGGTGGTGGGTTTCCTTTGTCATCAACGCCGGGAGCAATGTCAGGCGGGCCATTAGGGGGGAGCTGTTGGGGGCTGTGGTTGGGGAGCAATCCGGAGGCGCCATAGCAGATTGTTCATATTGTGCCTGCCACCTCCTCCATAATGTCGTAAGCCATGGCCTGTTCCATATAAGCATCCGTTCCATCCATAGTGAAGGCTGTGAGAAGTTGAGCGTTACAATGGACTAGTAAACTATGATATTGGTATGTATTTGTGTGTGTTGGTGTATGTTGGTGTGTGTTGGTGCGTGTTGGTGCGTGTTGCTATGCATTGGTGTATGTTGGTGTGTGTTGCTACTATTGCTGTTATTACTACTGCTGCTACTACTGCTACTACTGCTGCTACTGCTGCTACTACTGCTGCTACTACTGCTGCTACTACTAATACTAATACTACTGTTCAAGAGACACTAAGTGTTGAATCAGCATTGCGCATGTGTCCTTGTAATGGCAGGGTCAGCTCACTGGTCAACCATATGTATACCAGCATAAAAACCATTACTAAGCTACACAGGCTGCAAGTGGAAGTAACAAAGGAGGAAAATAACATAGTTTCTAGCAATGATGAGGGGGTGTCTGCATCGGAGGTGCCCTTTGATAAGACGGATGAAGAGGGCAGGATACCCAAGCTACAAAGGGACTCTAGTTGGTGAAATCCATGGATGCTCAATGGAATAATATCTTCTTTATATTACAAAGGGCTGTGCACCTAAGGAAGGTTATCGACAAATGGTTTGACTTGCACCTTGGATACAAGAATCCCATTGCGATTACACATTGGGGGCACCTACAGGCCCTCCTCTAAATTATGGCATATGTGAAGAGGTGCAGTAAGAGGCTTAAGGTAGAGGCCTACCCCATGGGCTCCAAATCCCTGACCAAGACGTGGGACCTCTATGCCTTTTTGGTTCAAACCACAACGTAGACAACAAGGGGCTATACAATGGGTTGGTGCCATTTTGTAGTGATATATATGCTAAGTTGGATTAGTGGCTCATCGACATGACCCACATGGGCCTAACAAATGGCGTTCTTGGCTTTGATGGATCCCATGAATAAACGATCACCATTTATCACTCAGTGATGGTGTTGGCACGTTCCCCCCTTGCCTACGTTGAGGTACCCTGGCCCATGTGCTAGGGCCTCTCCGGTGGAAGCATGGTCGTTCTTGGCCGGACGGCGTGTCCCGGGCTCTCTCTGGCCCATGGGTGACGGCCGCTCTGCACGATCCCATCCGAGGCACGCGGATGCTGCGCCCAAGGAGGCAGGGAGGCAGGCGTTCCAGAACAATCGAACTACAATCGGCGCCGCCGCCAGGCGCTCTTACATGTGGTGGCCAATCTCATCAAAGTCATCATATTCATTAAGCATCTCCATTTTGGCCAAACCCGTTTTCCGGCTAAAGGCCTCGCTACACTCGGCCCTTACACCCAAGCCGTTCTGGCCTACTCTGCTTCGCTCCGCATGCGGCCTCCACGACTTTGGCAACGGGTCGAGCTCCGCTCACCAAGGCAAGAAGTCAACGGGTTGCTACCATATTACCACAGATGGTGTTGCTAGTGTTTTGCATTGTTTGTCACCGTGTTGCCATTTATATAATCGAAAACATATGCAATGTGGAAGAGTAGTGTTAATGGATTGCATGGTGTGCATGCAGTTTACGGCTGGAAGATGGTTCTACGTTCATACATATTGGTTCTGTATACCATTAGAGATAAGCTCGTGCCTGTGGAGGCCATGATGGAAAACATGTCGACAGAGTTGCTAGAGTTATGCCTCAGATTCGCGAAGGACATTGGGTGGTCAGAGACATCGGGGCAAGCAGGCCTACCAACCCTACCTGGACAGCGGGCTGTGCGCAAGAAGAGAGAGAAGCGCAGGGAATGCAAGACGTTGGCACCAGCTCGGAGGAGGATAATGATGCCGCTGGCATCACCCCGGCATGCACCCAGCGGGTGGGGTCAGGACCCAAGGGCAACCTGTGCCCTAGTCAACTTGCGGGCACTGTATCGGGCGACGAATTGCCGGATGCCACATAGCAATTTATCGCGCGACACATTTAGGAGTTTTTAAATGAACACGAGAGTTTGTGTGAGCTGGGTACCCCACAAGAGAAGAATGCACTAGATTATTGGGCACGAAACAATGCTCGATGGCCCATAGTGGCATGGGTAGCCTGACACTCATTGTGTGTGCCTGCACCAAGTAGCGCATCAGAGCATGGCTTCTCGGTAACTGGCCACACTGCACGATCTCGGCAGCCATCTTTGGGGGATGAATGCATTGAGCAACTCACGTTTTTGTCTGGCAACATCGATCTGTAATTTTTGGGAGTGAACTTGGCTTGTTTGGGATTGGTTTGTTGTTATATTTGTAACTTGTACTTCAAGAAGTAATAATTTTGCCTGTTTGTCTAGCCCATACATTGGGCAATATACATGTTGCCCTTGTTGCAGGCCGGGTTTCTATGCGAATTGTATTTCCTAGGTCTGAATCCTGCTTCATGAATGCCTCCCCGAGCATGCATTGGGCGGTCAATGCCTCCCCGACTCGTACAGGCCCCAAATCCCATGGTCCATTCCTGGGGAACGGAATGGAACAGACTAGAACGGACAAGAATGGGTCCAAGTGATATCCTAGTGTGGTCATCAAGGCGAATGTCGTATACACTAGGGCATACTTTTCGGTATCTTCAGTACTTGACTGAGCATCGCGTGCAGAATTTTATTGTCGTTTTTCTGGGAGTCAGGCTATATTGTGATTTTGTATTCCTATTGGGAGCATTCTGATTAGTGTGTGGGGTTTCTTTTGGGCTTGATATGCGAAGAGTTTCTTTTGACCAGAAGCGCATGTGCAGTTGGGCAGACGAGTGGAGAACTTTGTTGGATAGTCTGAGATCAGTCGGAGAGAAAATAGCATTAAGTTTGTATCAAAGGGGAACTGGGGACGACAGGGAGCTTATTCTGTGGAGTGTTATCACTGTTGGAGCGAGTTTGTTGAACATTACCGTTGTGCATTGTCTGTTGTGTTTTCTGGACACTCTGAGCTTGTAAGTGCATTTTTGTGTCTGACTCGTTCCTGGGGCAGTAAGGAAAGGCTAAAGATGGCAATCGCCCTAACTGCCCTTCGACAGTAATGCAATTTAAGTAATTTAGATGCATCGACAGATTATTTCACTCAGTAGCCGATATTGCTGTCAATGTAATGTATTGTGGAACATCGCCAGTACTTCTATCGAGTTGAAAAAAAACGATGAATGAAGCCTTACACACAAGATATACACATCAGCGCGCTATGCAGGGCCAGTAGGACAAAATCCTCATAGACAAGTATCCACGTGGTCAGTCATTGGCACTTTTGATGCCCTTATTACAGATGGCTCGGAAGACCCAACATCATCCACCACATTCCTGCATGAGCATCCACGACCAGCCATGATCTTCCGATGAACAGCCCATCAAATTACCATACGAAGCAACCATCACGTGAAGCACAATCCCACCAGCGGCTGTATTGTTGACGTGCAAGGTGGCTGGACAGGGGGACGTCTGAGCGGGGGTTTTGAGGCATCATCAGCACAGCGTTGCTGGGGCACTAAGTCGTGTCCAAGGCCAGAGCAAGCTCTCGTGCGCATAAGTCCTGTGATGACTGAACTGAACTGAACCGACGTTCCCATGCATAGGTGAGGAAGAACATGTGCACTCAGGTCTTTAGATGCATGCTGGCTTATGCACTCATCAGTGCAGCATTTGTGCGCACACTATGCACAGCATAATCAATTCCTTGATTACACCAGGAGAGAAGTAAGCGGAGTGCTGCACTTGCACCCAATCCTTTTGGAAGGTTAAGGTCAGGCTAAGCATAGGTTTTGGTCTAATTAGTATGTTGGATACACCCCGACTGTAGTGCTGACAGCCGCCATCTTCAAGTGTAAATCCCAAACGGGCCCATTCGCACATCGCCGACTCTTCTAACACTTTTGTGGGTGCCCGGCAGCCTCATTCGACTGGGTGTGTTTGACCACAAGATCTCCACCACTCTAGACAGCTGTTCCTTGCACAGCGGGACTGAAACAATTCCAAGGGTCACATGCCTGTCTGCCATACTCCCAGGTAGCCCCCCTCCCATAAATCCCCCTTTTGGACCACAACATCCTGGCTTCCTGCTCCCATGACAAGGCATGCTGTCACGTCCATAGCAGCCCATTTCCTGCACACGCATCCCTGATAGCTTCTGTTTTCCTTTCTCCATTCCTCCTCGCCTTCTCCCATGTGGCAACTAGCAGGGCAGGACAATTGCTGCCACTGCGACTGATGCTCTGAAACTGGCTGCTGGGGAATCCCATCACACCCACAAAGCACTTGCTCACAATGGCGGATATCATGCCCTGATTGCTCCCAGATATCCACCAATTGGCTCGTCTGACAACATTGCTAAACCTTCCACACAAGCTGCATTGATGATTACCTCTTTTCTGCCTCCCCAAAGTGGCCACAAACAAAGCCAGCAGTGTCCAAAATGTTCAAGAAAGCACTGCCACTGCATGCGATTTTATGATGCTAACTGCCTGCACATTTCAATCGTCTTGTTGTAGCTAATGCATTCCACACACCAAACGTGCTGCCCTAGCAATTTATGTATTGCCCCAACCACCATTCAGCCCAATACCTATGTTGATTCAGTAGCTAAAACTAACCAAACTGTATGGGCAGCCCACAGCCCAGGATACTTACAAACAGCCTTCAACAACAACTCACACTGATATGGGAGTTGCAATTATTGCCCAAGATACTGACGACTGAATTCTTGAAATTGGTCAAAGTGCGGGTACCCAAACTTACTAAATAGTGCAGTCAGGTGCTGTTGGATGGTCTCGTGGGTGCTATTCATGCCAGCTCATCATCATATCTGTGCTCAGTAAAGACTGAGGTGTCCTGTGATCTCGCTGATAGCATCTGTTGCAAATGGGCCCAAGGCCATTACTGTTTTGACTGGCCCGCTATGCTGTGACGATCGGTCAACGACTGTGTGCGTGGGGATGCCCGCTGTCTTTGCAGATTCCTTCAGGGCTGTGAGGCCGGCTGCGTCAGAGACACGCAGCACCACGGTGGACCGCCCATCATGCTCCTAAAAAACAATCCAGGAACAGAACACAGTTTTGGGTGTGCCAAGTGTCAATGTTCAACTCAGAACACAAACAGTCTGACCGCGTTTCCTGATGGACAATGTGAGAGTGATGTGCAAGAATGTTGAGTGATGGCGCTGATCAGCTGCCAACTTGCAGAGGTTTCATAGTATATCCCAAATTCTGAACAAGCTTGAAGCCACACGCTGTAAAAGCCTGTGGCTATCTATCAATTGAGCCAGTCCTCCACTTCCAGTGCACTTACAATAGCATCAGTTGCCTGAACATGGTGATGTTTGGTGATGTTGGTGATGTTGCATTTCTTGATCAAAAACGACACAACTTGACGACTGCAGCCTACCATGCCCTGATTGTGGATAGCATGAAATGAACCCAAAAGACTGTTTGAGAGCATGATTTGGTACCGTTGGCCAGGCTAACTATCAAACTTCAAGTGCTCATTGTCACCATTCAGATGCAAGGATCTTGTTTCGTCAATGGGGCACTGCAAACAAAAAAAATTCAGCCAACCAACCTCCAGCTTTATCTGAAACAGTCTTATCCCTTGAAAAGTCTGGAATGCACTGATGCACATTGCTTGACTAATCAGGATTTCAATCATTCAGCATCAATCCGTTAGACAAGACACTGATTTTATGCTGTAGAACAAGGCAGTGGTTTGGGGGTCCAGGGCAATTCACTCACCCAGTCCCATAAGTTGGGATTCTTGGCCCTGTGCAGCTTTTTGAACTGGCCCAATGCGGCATGGCACAGCTGGGAGCCCACCTTCCCTTTTGTCTGAAGCACAGCATCACAAGTCCAAGAAGTTGGCACTTGTTTGATGTCGATGGTCATTGACAAACAAAGCACTGTCCTGGCACTTTAACACAAGGCAAACTTCTGCCTGCAGTGCCTGGACCAGAATGCATGCTTAGCTCTCCAAACTAAAAGCTCAACACAATATATCAACAAAGTAACAACTTTCTGCTAACATGGCAGCAGTGTCGATTCTGCGATTCTGTTGGCTGTGAACGTGATATTGCTGGCTTTGGCCACTTCCAAATTATCTATCGTTGCCTCCGACCCTCTCCTTGCAAGCGAATCTGCAACTGTGAGGAGATGCACTGACTGGGGGCAGGCCTCAATTGCAGCCAAGAGCTCCTTGTGCCAAATGCATTCTATTTACGTTTCTGTTCTTGCCATATGTTTATGTCTCATACAATGTATATTTCTGCATCAAGTGGGGGTCTTCGTTACTTGTCCATTTCTTCCTTTGGTCCTTTGGATGATTTTGTTGAGCTGTGCATGTTGTGAGGTTTAGCTCAATTTAATCTGATGAACAGAACATAGCACAATGTGCCAAGGCTCCAGACAACAGCTGTCAACAGCTTTGCACAGACAAGCAGCCTTTTGCATCCCATTCAAGCTTTCAAATCAACAAACCTTCAAATTTCCATGAGAAGAACCATCAAAACTGACCAGAAAAAGAAACAACCAAACTTTGAATCAAACAAGCAAATGGACATTCAAATAATGAACCTCCGGCTCCTGGATCAAGAACAAACAAAGAGGGATCCCACAGCACATACCTCTGTGTCAGGCAGCCTGCAGCCACTATATTGATGGACCACAGTTTGCATTGTGCAGTGGAGGAACATACCCAACCCATTCAACTCATGCATGGGTCTGACACTGCCTGACGAGTAAAGGAACACGTACGTCTTATGTTTTGGGGGGGCATAGTTCGTCGCTCCCCAATCATGATAACATCTGCCATCTAAGTGAGTCGTTGCAGTGCTTCCTGTGCTATTCTGGACGCATTTGATGACTCTCTCGCCAAACAATGCCTACTGTGTTGTGGCAATAACATAATGCAACGCATGCGATTGCCCCGGTCTCGCCTATCTGCGCCGAGCATCGAAACACCTTCGCTTCGAAACACGCCTTCCAGCGACTCTGTGGACTCACCCCGCCCCAAGACCCTTCCCCCGTTCGCCCCCATCGGCCGGAGTCCCACCAACTCTCGTCAAAGCCGTTCCCAATCAGGGTCCGCGCCCAGAGCGCCAGGCGTTTCCCTTTCCGCCACGACACGACCACCCTCGCGATCTGGTCCCAGCATGCGGCCAGAGATACTGACGCCCCGGCTGATCCGATTCAACACGCGACTCGCGCCCCGACCAGTGCGCTTTTTTCACGCTGGCGCGACCCACACGGTCATCCATCCATCAATCCATTCATTCACGCCTACGGGTCCCAGGCACGGAACCTCGACAGACTCCCCACCCCACCTCACCCCCACCCACCCCAGGGGCATGCGTTGTGTGCTCGTCATTTCGCATCGGAGACTCTACATCATCTTTTCACAGCGTGGCCACTGTTCTCGCACACACTGGCTTAGGAGGGGGTTGGCCTTTGTATTACCTGCTTCTCCCTCTCCTTGCAACAAATCTACCCCCCCCCCTCCCCCCCCGAGTTCGCCGATCCCCGCAATCGCCTAGTCAATCCCGCTGGGCCCCACCAGCTTCAGGTCCGTCCGCACGACCAGCACCAGCCGGCGGCCACCGCCCGCCGCCGCCGGCATCCCGTCTCCGAAGTCGCTGTCCGCGTCGCTGGACGGGCACGGGCTGGGCGCCCGGTACCTCCCGTTCCCCGGATGTCCCCCCACGGGCGCGGGCGGCGGCAGCCCCATCACCACCCTCCCCCCGATCGCCGCCTTCCCTTCGCCTCCCGAGGGCCCTGACATCTGATCCGGGACTTGATGCTCGCCGGAGCGCCGATCCTCGCCGGGGTTTTGATCCTGGCCTTTGGTCTCTTCGCCCATCGCGGCCTCGGCTCGGTAGAAGCCGATGGCGTAGCCGGAGAGGAAGGCGGCGAGTAGGGCACCCGCGGCGGTGACCAGCCTGTCTAGGACGGGCATGTTCGAAGGGGCCCCGGGCGGGGGCGCGACCAGCACTGGGGGAACGTGGGGATGGGCAGGGGGTCTGCCTGCATGTTTGGGGGCGTTGTGGAGTTTATGCAGCTATTAACCCCATGCAACAAAGCCCTTTTGCCCAATCATCGTTATTTTTTACGAGCTGGGGCTTGCGGCCCCCTACCAGAGGAGGTGGATAGGCCCGCTGGTTCCAGCCTTTGCTAGGTTGCCGAAATGCGGGAAGTAGAGGTGTCGATGGTGAGTCAGTTTCGTTATTTTTCCCTTACTTTTGGAAGAAGAAAGTTCTCGTTCGTTTCCGTTCAGGTTTTTGAACGGCTTCTTTCGCTTTCCATTCGTTACACATCGGCGTTCAGGTTCCATCGTCCATTCATTGTTTCGTGCCTTTTTTGTTCGTTCTGAGACGGTAAGGAGCATGTAGAAATGCGTTTAGGAGCACGCCAGCAAGGAGCGGGCGCGCTCGGAGGGGCATAGGCGAGGCACAGGGTAGACCAGCCCAAGCGCTTGGTGGCCCAGTGTGCCAGCTCAATTGCCGTTGAATCGCCACTCTATCAGCCACGACGACTGAGCCCGGTGTTGTCGGGTATGGAGGGCAAATCAGCAGCCACACTTGGACACATTGGCTAAGGCGCTTGTATGAGATCCGGGTGCAAGGTCGTGCTTGGGGCGTTCTGGGCAGTGCTTGCCACCCCCACACGTCTCCCCAGCAAATAGCTCATGCGTTTGAAGGGCCTTGGGGCCCTATCCACTGCGACGTTTCATTTCCAACCACTGTTGTGCTACTAGTGGCAGAGTTCAGATCATGAACGCTATCTTCAACTCAATATGCGAAAGTTCATATGCATGAACTCTTCAAAGTCTCCTGTTCGCCCAGCAGCCAAAGCTTGTGTGCACGCAAACTAATAAGATTTGTTTACCCACCAAGGGAAATGAGGAGACATCACTGGCATTCAAGCAATATGGGTACAGCTATGGAACCGGCACCATGTGGCTACCAGCAATGGGAGCATTGTGGCCCGCACCTCAAAATATTTTAAATCTATTCTGAATCCCGCCAGAGTAGGGACTAGAGATAGCCACACGGATCCGTTAATAGCGGACAGAGGTTAATTTCCGTTAATTTTTCGTTAATTAACGGAAAATAACGAAAAAAGACAAAAATTAACCAAAAATTAACGGATTTTTGGATTTTTTTGGGATTTTTGGGTTTTAGTCATACTTATAGTTTATGGAATTCGCTATTAGTGAGTATGTTTGTATTTTATTTCAACTTATGCATACTAGATTTTCAACTAGCCGCAGTTGTTGTGATTTTTTGGGTTTTTTTCGATTTTTTTGGATTTTTTTCGTTTTTTCTGAAATTTTCTCCCTTTTTCTTTAACGAAATTTAACGGACAGCTGATAAAAATTAACGAACCGGATTTAACGGACCAGATGGCACCCTTGAATGGCCACCTCTAGTAGGGACAGAGTCACACAAGCCAGCTTGGTCTACAGCATGCTAAAGCCCCCATCAAGCATAACTCCATCACCCCTCAACCACTAGCACGATACCCTGCATAGCTCCAAGTCCACGCAAAATTCGCACACACACGGAGGCAGGTTTTAGTTAGTAGTTTTGTTTTACGTGCCATGGCGTGATGGACAGTTGACATTTATTACATAAGCTTGATAATCAAACTTTTCTCAAAGAAATTTCCCTGATGCGCAGAGGCCACTGTCATGGTAGACCGAGACTATTCTGCCAGGGAGCGGGCATGCACACATGAAAACATTACAATTTGCTGTCCACAATCCACACTCGCAATGAACAACCCACCACATTCTCATCCCCCCAAAAATGCACTGTCAACAACGAACTTCATAAGTTGGCCCCTGCTCACAAATGTGTTCCCCTTGTGTAGGCAGGCCCTTCGCAAGTAGATTTGTTCACCACTACATTGGGCCACACCTCGAATTGTTGTGTGCTTATATCTACACAACAATTGCGCCCCTGCCCTTAATGCTTCCTCTCAGATGTTCATTCGAACATCACAAGTGCTGAGCTTTGCCAGTCAACTGGACCTACAAAAATAGCAAGAGGATAAGATCAGCACCAATTAATAAACACTTCGCTGGTTGACACCCCCGCAGAGGGCTTCCATACAAAGAATCATGAATCTTTGCCAAGATGGATAACCCAACACACCACATCTGATTATTTCATTTTTGAAAGAGTCCAAGCTCCAGCCATGCACCTCCTCCCCTTCAAGCACCCTCAAACTACCAGTAGTGCAATGCAAGGCGATGTGCATCCCTTTGTCGTTTTGGCACATTTTACAGATCATTATATTATATGCAATAAGAGGCAACCAAATTTTGTGCAAGGGTTCAACATCTATCCTTTGGGACTTATTGGGGTGCCAAGTGCCTTGAGCAAAACTGCTAGGGAACTTGCTTTTGTGGATATACAAATGTAGGGTGGCATATAGAAAACACTATTGTAGGTAGGGGCATAGGCTTGAAGGTGGGCATTGATGCCAGTAGGCAATTAGAGAAGGAGAGATGTGGACAGGAAATCAGCATGGCAAAGAGACAACACAACTTGAGATACAACAGTATAGGCGGACAGGCTATGATGCATGCAAGAGGGCGTGGAACGAGGTATGCAGATAGTCAACTGTGCAGGTGGGTGGGCAGGGATAGAGCTCAATGGGTAACTAGAAAGGGGGTACAAAAACTAGTAGGCAAACCAAGATATTAGGCAACAACAGGCTGCAAAGCATGGTATGATAGAAGTGGCATTATAGACAATGATATGAGTTGGGCAGCAGGTGATGTAAGCCAGAATTGAGACAACTAGGCACCAAGGCGTGCAGGTAGTGATGAAGGGGTGACAAAGGTCAAACAACATGACCGGCCGATAGACAAGTAGGCAGGGATGGGAGGCACGGGAGCTGTGATGTAGGTGGAGTGCACAGGGGCAAAGGCAGGCAGGGAGTGTTGCAGTTATGCAACTATGCCACAATGCTTGTATGTAGGATCATAAGGTAGATCAGCAGGAAAGACAAGGGCTAGCCTAAAGGCAGCAATCACATGGACGTAGTGGTTAGGATAGGGCGAAGATGGTAGCCCTGATGCCGGTGGGACAAGTGTGTAAAAGTGCGCCAATGAGATTGTTGAATGTGATCTGCACCACCTAGCTGAATTGTGACAAGGTGATATGGGTCGACTACCTTGACTGCGGCTAGTGCATTGGGCCGCTGATGCAAACGTTGAACCCTAGCAAAAGAAGTTAATCCAACTGTGCCACACACTTGCCCAATGCAAGAACGCTCTCCCAACTGGAATGGCGGCCTAAACGGGCGTGGTTACTTCCTAGCCAGCATGATACATGAAGATTGTGGGTGTGGGGCTCCTACCCTCTTTGAGCCGCATACCCACCTCACCAGGCAATTAGGTCCTTACGGGGACCCGGGCGGGACCACCCCGACCTACTCCCATATCGTATAAAAATACACATTGCTCATGCAAACATACTCACTCGAGTGGTGCGCATGCACATACACTTTTGCCACAAATCGTGTGCCAAATCGCAGGAAGTTTGCAAACTTGCAAATGCGGTACCCTAAACCCCAAACCACGTACCCACAACCACTTTATTATGGGGGAGAGCGAGTGTCAAGGCTGTGCTCCAAGACACCCGCCCTAAGGACGCCAGCACACCATTTTGAATTGGAAGGTCATGGCGATCGACCCGATGGATCGATCGCACCAAACAGAATTGACCTTTCCACTCACACCCCACACCCCACACCCCACCCCTCCCAGCGCCACTCGCTTCCAGTCAGCGGCCAAGGAGGCACCTCAAGGCGTTGTAGTGAGGCCGCCAAGCTTCTTTGAAGTGAAAGTCCATGGGGATCGACCCGTTGGGTCAATCGCCAAGGATGCAATTTTTGAATTCGAACATGCCCCTTCCCCGGTCCACCCAGCCTCCACCTTCCTGGCGCCACTCGTTCTAGTCTATGGCTAAGAGGTGTCAAGAGGCACTTCAAAGCGGCCCTTCAGCTTGTTCGAAGTGAACATCGCAGGGTTGTGGCGATTGGGATCAGCAAATTTTCGATTTGGCCCCCCTCAAACCCCACTTCCCCCCGCCTTCTACTCCCCCCCTGTTGCGCACCCTATTGGGTGTGCCCCAGGAATGTTACATTGGAAGCGTGAACCACAAATATAATCAGGTGTTCATTTACTACAAACGGCAGCAAATCAAATAATAGACACACTACTCCCCTAGTGTATCTAGTAAACCCAAATCTCACCCCACTATCACAGTACAACAAAATGAAGTGAAATCTCCAGTAAAACTGGATCCACCAGAATTCACAACATCACTTCCCCCTATAAGAAAGTGGCTGTCCCGAGTCACGGAGCAAGTGAAGTAAAGAAAAACCCAACGAAACCCATGATATACAAAGGCCAAACAGAAACAAGGCCCCCCGGCACCAACGATGTGCTCATGTACGGTTGGTACAGTGGCTCAGTTGCAACCTGTAGATCCAAGTCCGGTTCGGCGCGCCGAACGCGATTACCCCCGAGACGTAAGACCCCATCACCAACTGTAACCATCCCACCGCATCAACGACCGGCACTCGGAACTCCCCGGCGACACCATCACTTGTTCTGTTTTCCTTTTGTTTTCCGGGATCGCTTTGGCTCAGATGCAGCGACCCGGTGCAGGTAATCCTCTAGGAGGGAGGAAGCATTACGGAGATGCGATTCAGGCTCCCAGGAAGCCTCAGTCACTGGATGACCTTTCCAGAGGACCTGATAGAGGCGCCGGGCTCCTGTCCCCTTATGCCTCAGAATCGCTTCCACCTCGTACTCCTCCTCTCCGTCAACCAATATCGGGGGAGGTGGCTTCTCCACCCGTGCGAACCTCTCTGAACGGACATGTCTCTGCAAGTTGGAGACATGGAAGACTGGATGAATCTTCCAACCTGAGGGAAGAC